GAGCAACTAATGTGGAGTTTATAAGGCCTTGGGCACTCCCATTAGAGATCAGTTATTAATGATATGTCATCCTTCTACTGCAAAGTCTATGATTTGGCTCCATCACAAGCGTTTGGGACATCCACCATTTAGTCTTTTGAAGTCTATGTTCCCTTCTCTGTTTCTCAATAATTCGATTGAGACCTTTCATTGTGATGTTTGTGAATTTGCAAAACACCATCTAGTGTCATTTCCTTCTAGCACTATTAAAAGCAGGGAACCTTTTTCTCTTATCCATTCTGATGTTTGGGGCCCTTCTAAAGTGCACAGTGTTTCAGGTGCAAGGTGGTTTGTTTCTTTTATTGACGATTGTACTCGGGTAACATGGATATACTTGATGAAAGACAAGTCTGAAGTACCAGAGATATTTATTCGGTTTCATCACATGTTGAGACTCAGGTTGGTAAGGGTATTAAAAGACTAAGATCTGATAATGGTACTGAGTACGTCAACCAACACCTGTCACAATTCATTTCAGACAGAAGTTTGATTCATGAGCTCACATTCCTTTGAGCTCGCTTTTAGGGTGGTGTATCCCAAGGTTCTTTACAGTTGTGTATATGTTGGATACACGAATCTGCTGGCTCTTTTCCTGACATATTGGTAACTTTTGGGTGTTGATACTTGGTAATATGATCATAACTTCTATTTAAGTCTAGCTAAACGCAATCCTGGATTTGCAGTATAGGCTACATAATTTCCTCTCGGACTTGATTTTTTATAAGTGATTTTTTATAATAGTCTTTATCATTATAATTTTTTAATCATTTTACATTAATGCCATCATGAATTTCGATAATCATTTAATAAGCACAATCTTGAGACTTAGTGCTCTGTATTCTATAACTACGAATGTTATTTTACTTATGATATATCATGTTTTAGACTTGGTGATGATTCTCACCAATTGTGGTGGAAATTGTTTTGGACCAGCCTTCTCTGCCCAATACATTAAGGAGGCGTTTGGTTGAGGAGAAATTTTTATGAATCATAGGAAAATGTGATTAGTAGGGAAATGGTTGGAAAGTGAGTTAGGTAGAAAAATGTAAAAATAGTTGTTTGGTTGGGAAAAAAATTTTCGGGGAAATTAGGTAACTTTTGTAAAGTCTATGTTTGGCTTTTAGTAAAATATAGATGGGAAAAAAATGTGCTATTACCAAAATAACCTTATTTTTGAAAAATGAATCAGTTATAAAAATGGCCGTGAATTAAAACGAATAGCTAAGGTATTCACATCGTGTTTGTTTTTTTCTTTATAAAAAAAGGAAAAAAGGAAAAAAAAAAGATGAATTAATGATAGTAATGCATGGATAGAAACAAAAGATGATGTTTGCTAAAATAATAATAAATTATTTGTCTTTTATAAGAATCAAAAGTAGATGGCAACATTACAATATTAAAATATTAAAACATTGAAGTATGCTTGTAACAGAGGGTAAGATGGTCTTTTGCTTATTACACCCACTAAACTAAATACATAGCTAACCGCAAATACCACATATGAAAAGGATTTTTTTGGCCGGCAATCTCTTCCCAAAATGATAGACAAAGTGGTTTGCTAGCATACTGATTTAGGTAGATAAATTTGAAACCTCTCTCAACCAAACAGGGCACCCAATTTCCCCACTTCACATTTGCCTATCAATCTCCTCAAAAACCTCCAACCAAACACACCCTAAGGGGTCATTTCCTTGCTTTTCCGTGAGCATATAGAACTCAATATGGAGGATCTCTCATTCCTTTGCACAACTCACCCATTATATAACTGGTAGAAGAATTCCTAACTCACAAAAGTGAGGTAATAGGCAAAACGATGATGTCTTACATACATAGAAGGATAGTTTTATTGAGGAAGCTTGACCTCTTGCACAAATTGTTTTTCCAAATAATTCGAGTGATGATTTCTTATTCTATGTGATGATAGTTTAAATGGATAAAGTATAATTTCAAAATAATAACTACCCACTACAACAATTAAATATATTGAACTAAAATAAATTACTCACTACTAACACTAGGGAATATCTCCCACCTACATATACCACTCTTCATCTATTGAAGAGACACTTTGCATTTATATATTTTATGAGGTTTTATTTTACTGAAGTCTGGAATCATAGTGTCTTTACACATTCCCTCTCTCTCAGCCATACCTGAGATAGCACCACGATGAATTCTTATAGAGTTTTGGTCAATACCATTGCCTTCAAGAACACTCTACAATGATATACTTAACCCATCAAAAGATACATATCTAACTGTTGAAAATTCACAAGAGTGATAAAAAGTCATTTAAGTGATAAAAAAATCCCACATCAGGAAGGAATGAGCTAAGCATGATATATATAAACAAAAGAATCTATAAACTCCATGCCTTTAGGTTTTGAGTTGAGATGTGGTATGAGACCCTTTATAATAAATTTGTTATTTAGGTCCATTTTAATGTGTGGCAAGAGTCTCTCCTAATTGTACATCCTAGATTTGGGCTCCTGGTCGCTGCCCAACACTAACTCTGTTCCACAACAGCCAATAAATATAAACAAATGTAATGATATCATCAATGCACACAAGATTTTTAAGGTCTTTTTTTTTCTTTAAAATAAGAAAGAAAGAAAAAACAGCAGTATCCCAATTGCACCACCAAAATGCACAACTCTCTTAGGATCACTTAAAAATATTGATAGTTTTCCAAATGATGCAATGGATATGGTACCGCTCAGATAGATTGTTTTGTCTTGTAGGGTGAGATCGGCAAAGCATCTACCAAAGTTGTATTAGAGTGAGGAAAAACGTTTACATATTTTCCTGTCTTTATTAAGACTAGACCGTGTGGTATTCACATCAAATTTGTCTTCATTCCTCGTGGTCACTGGTCACCATACATCACTTTAGTTTGATTTTGTTTGCGTGAAGCTGCTTTTGTCCATGGTTCATGGTTGCTTGCTTCTCCCAAATATCCATTTTCTACCATTGAAGAGTTACGTTACGTCTTCCATCCACTAACCTGATCTTACCACAATTATCGTTTGTAAAAAAGGGGTCCCAAAATTTATTACTTACATTATATTATCTCTATATAAATTGACACAAGTCCCCTTCCTTGAATGACTAAAATTTGAGTCTTCCTTTACCAAAAAAAAATAAAAATAAAAATAAAATAAAATTTGAGTCTTCCAATCCTTTTTTTTTGTTAAAAAAGAAAGTTCTTGCATAAAAAGATTTTATACAATATGTTGAGTTCATCATCAGAGAATATTAATACGCATGTAGTGCGATTTTTTATGGGAAAAAAAAAGACCGCTGCAAAGTGCTAAAGATTGCGCATACCTTGAACCATCTTAGCAGCCAGATAATGTTATCATTAGGTTGTTTCAATGGATTAATGTTTATCGTGCGGCAGTAAATATACACATAAAATTATATGAGATTCATATAAAGAAAAAAAAAAAAAATAGACCTCACATATTTTTATCAGTGTTTAAAAATCCGGCCCGGCTCGACCCGGCCAAGGTCAGGGGGTCACGGGTTCAACGGGGGGTCATGGGGTCACTACACTGACCCGATTTTATATATTAAAAAAATATAAATATATATATCCTATATGAAAATATTAAAAAATAAATCACCAATCTTCAAAGATTCAAAATATACTTAACATAATTCACCAATTACAATCATAAGTCAATATTACACAACCTAATTAAAGTATCAAGAGACCAAAGTACAAAACTCATATTCTAATAGGGTCACTGCCTCTTTTGAGAAGGTCTCTAACAAAGGAGAATTTAAAGGAAGTAAGAATGAGTTTTTGTTTTCTATCGACAACCGTAAGGATTTCATTTGAATGAGTAAAATTCTTACTTTTTTTAGAAGATTCACGACAGCGAGGTGAAGATTGAAGACATCCAGGTCGCTGGGAGAGAAGAGAACGATTAGATTTAGGTTTCCAAGTATTTTTATTTTATTTGTTTAATAAAACGATATTGTTTCATGAATTTGTTTTTAAAAAAATAAAAACATGCAATGACCCCCTTTGACCCCTCTGACCCGGGAGTCACGATAATCCTGCTGGGTTTTGGGAGTCGGAGGGGTCGATATGCATATATGGTCTAACTTGTGACCCCAACCCTCAGAGGGGAGGGGTCCGGGTTGACCCGGGTCAACCCGGGGGTGGAGTGAGGTGGGGTTTTAAAACACTGATTTTTATATGAATAGGAAATAAAATTTATCTCCTGACAAATATTAATCTCTTGTTTTATAATAAAAATAAGAATTTATTTTTTCTGCGGTCAATGAAGATAAGTTATCTATATTGAACTTTGTTTTAGTACGCAAATCAAAATATTTTTGTAATTATAATTTATTTCAGGATCATAATAGTGTTTCTTATTATAATTTTTTAATTCAAAATGATATCGTTTTGAGGGTGAATATAGATAATTTATCTCTTCACTCTCGAAACGATGAGAATCCATGATTGTGAAATAGTAACTATTTGCAACATTGGAGTTCATAATGACGATCCCTTGAGAATCATTCAAAAAAGATGAGTATTCATTCTGTGGGTAGAGTTCATGCACTCTTCCAGCAAAACAATTGAAGAAGTCAATTTGAAATTCTAATCCCTTTCTTTCGGTATATAATTCTTTGAACACAATCAACCTGTGAATAAAATAACGAATCATTATAGCTAAACAATAATACGATTACGACCGTTAAATTAAAGGAGTTCCTTTCCATACTCCCAAAAAACTAAAATAATGAAAAAGCGCGTTATGTCAATAACATTATAACTTTGTAATTTTTGTTAAATAAATTTATAATCTCATAAAAAAGAAGAGCAGCGTTGATTTTTATTTTTATTTTTTTCCTAAAATGAAGATACAAAGTGCAAATTGGATTTGGGTTCGTATGATAAAGAAAGCAGACTCAGAGTGGTGTTGTCGCAAAATTATTTAATAATAAATAATGTTTTTTTTCTTTTTGTTGATTCCTCAATCTCTCATCATACTCATAAATAGCCATCTTCCGTTATTTTGAATTGTTGTTCAATCAACATTCAGATTATGATATCATTTTGCCGGCGGCTACCTGCCGGCGGCGCCACTACATCGGACGGTCGTGTTCAGTTCCGGCTGCCGACCGTTTCCGCGAAGATTTGCGGGGTCCGTTACGGCTATTCCGGCGGGCACCTAAAGCCGTTGAGAATTCGGTTGGCGGTGGGGCCCACCAGGTATGGTGGCGCGTGGGAGAGATCAGTTATTCCAAAGGAGAAGTTGGGGCTCTGCTCGTACGCCTTGGGGGATCAGGGGGTGGCGCCGGATGGCGGGAATGATGCAGTGGAGAGGAGTGGGAATCGGACGGCGGAGGTGGCGGTGGCGGCCGCCGTGACGGTGGTGATGGGTGTTGGGAATCGGGTTCTATATAAACTGGCTTTGGTTCCATTGAAACAGTACCCTTTCTTCCTTGCACAGCTTGCCACTTTCGGGTACTTCACTTTCTACCTTCCGCAGCTATTATTTTCTTAACTTTTCTTTTTTTTAAATGTTATTTGTATATAATGTATCATAATTATACCTAATTTTATTTTATTTTTTTAAGTTGAATGAATTTGTATTCAAAGGTGTATTTTTTTTTATTAAAAAATTGTATGAAAATGAATTGAGAAAGTTACATGCGAATTTTATTACTTTTTCATTTTTCTGCCAACAAAGCTTATTTTAATTTATTTATTTTTTGTCATAAGGTTGATTCCCGGAATGTTGTAAAATTGCCTTTCAATGTTGATTTATGTTATAAATTAATTCTTATGATGATATTGACTTAAATTAGTCATAAAAAAGTAAATATCATGGTGATGTTAGTTGTTGTTGAAAAAACAAATTTAACTCTAATATTTGTCGCGGAAATGATTTTCTTAGAGAATTACCAACTCGATTATATTTTACTTTTTTGGTTCACTCTGTCTACAATAATCTTTTCTTGTTTTTGTTTGTTTGTGTGTGGTGATTTTGTGGATAAGAGTTGATATGAGTAAATGTAATGATTGATATTTTTTGTTTATTTCAGATATGTGATTGTGTACTATGGCATAATGTATATCCGGCAACATGCTGGGATTGTTACTGATGAGATGTTGCGTACGCCACAGACTCCATTTATTGTTATTGGTCTGTTGGAGGCTCTTGCTGCTGCCACTGGAATGGCAGCAGGAGGTAATTTTGCAACCTTTTTCTGCTCAGGACTACATTTTCATTCATTCTTCTTTTCATGAGTACATCAATTTTGCTTTGTGACTGCACAGATATTCATAGTAGGATATTAGATGCTAACAATATATTATCTTTAAGTTGTACAATTTTATATCTCCATGAAAATGCTCATATTATGAATTTCATTTGATAATTTGTTGTGCTCTTTTTTCGTATCAGCAATTCTGTCAGGAGCATCAATTCCAATTTTGTCTCAGGTAAAAAGAATCAGAAGTCAATTGCTCTGCATGATTGTTCTATTTTAAATCTTCTATAGTTAACTTATGCTTGTTATTTATTGTAATTGGTTATTTAGTTAAATGGTATCTGTATCTAAATGAAATATATGAATTTCAGAATTATCTACAAACTTCAGATGTTGATGAAAATGAACTGAAAACAAACTTTAGTTACTCAAGATTATCAAACATTGTATTGATTAATAAGTTCAGAATGTAAGTTCATTTGATCCATTGCAAAGGGATTACAGAGTTGAAAGCTGTATTTAGGTAAGCCTTTGTTTATTATTTACTACTTTTAACATGATCGTAAAAATCAACCATTCAAGTATCTAGTACCCAAAGAAGCACTGTCCTTGGGTATGTTTCCTGCTTTATGAAATTAAAACTTTGGTGTATACGGTTAGCAATGTTGTCACCTAAACCGACTCAGTTCTGTTTAGCTCATCCATATACAACTTGCGTAGGTTTCCTGTTAAAGGTAAATTAAAACTGGATAGCTAATTTGATCTATTCTCTTGCAGACGTTTCTAGTGTGGCAAATTCTCCTGTCAATTATTTTTCTTGGGAGAAGATATAAAGTCAACCAACTACTTGGTTGCTTTCTTGTAACCGTTGGCGTAATTGTTACTGTAGCAAGGTCAGTAGTTAATGTTATTTTTTTAAAGGTGTTAGACCAAGGTGGCTCAGTTTTTGAGTGTCAACAAGGGCAATGCGTTCTTGAGTGTCAATAAGGCTGTAATCAAGAACATGGTTTACAACGATGTTGGCCATGAGTCAACAAACTAATTCCGAAAGTTGCTAAGCATCTTGATACAATTATTACTGGTTGCATTTTAATGGAATTTTTGGACAAATTGATTTGATGATAGTAGGTTTCTTCTTAACATGTGAGTTTTAAGAGGTTGCAGATCAAAAACTACTTAATGCTTTCAAATTTTAGTGACAGATTTCATGCCGAACAACAAAGTCAAAATTTTGATTTAGCATGTCAAATCATATTAGTGACTCCATATATTATTTCACTTTTATTCCTTTGTGATTTTTCAATCAAAGTCTGGAAGCAAATTATGGACTATTGGACTGCTGAATTTCCTGCTAAGGCCTTCTTATTTATAACTCTGTTTACTATTGTAGTGGAGCTGGTGCTGGGAATTCATTAAAGGAAGGTGGTATATTTTGGAGTGTTTTGATGATAGTTTCATTTTTACTCCAAGCGGCTGATACCGTGCTGAAGGTTATTATCTTTTATAATGTTTGTTGCATTTTCCCAGCTTTCAAACTATTTCTCTATAATTACACGTAGCATTTTTCATACTTTGCAGGAGTTAATCTTTTTGGATGCGACACAAAAACTGAAGGTCTGTACAGTAGTGAATTGTTTTAATTCATATTTTTCTGCAAATTATGGCTTTCAAAGGTCATAGCATAAGGCCATTTGACAACCTGAAGTAAGCAACACCACTTGTGGTGCACTCACAAGCACATTTGCCTCAAATGTTGATGCAGAGAACAATATTACTAAATTATAGTAAAACTTTTAGTTTAGTTATACATGATGGACTGATTTTAATAGTCAACTTAAACAATCATTCTTTTATTGTGGGAGACTCTAAAGCTTCCAAACCACTGTTTTCAGATGCATGCTGCGAAACTAGTTCTGTTTAAACTTGACATTTTTTTATTTGTTTTGAGTGGGAATATACTAATTAATAGTCAGTATTATCTGAAACAGGGAGGTTCTCTGGACCTGTTTGTTGTCAATTCATACGGATCTGCTTACCAAGTAGGTATCCTGCAATCTTTCATGAAATTTTAATCTCTGGGATTACAATGAACTGTTTACAATATAAATACAAATGAATGCCTAAAGGCTTGAATATATGCTTAGTGTAGGCACTGTTTATATTCCTTCTCCTTCCCTTCTTGTCAAAATTATGGGGCATCCCCTTCAGTCAACTACCAAACTACCTTAAAGATGGTGCAGCCTGCTTCCTAAATGTTGGTACATTATCAAATGGTGAGCTGTATTTCCTTTTCATATTGTCATATCTTCTATGGGTCAGTTTCGTGTCCTTTTAAAAATGAGGGTGAAAATTTCAAGGATGAGCTTTATATGAAAAATTGTATGAAAACTCATCCCTGGATATTTCACTCCCAATTTTAAGCACGTACCATACTGGCTATAGGTGTTAACCAAAAATGTCTTTGGCTTATGAAAGCTGATGTAAAATATTTGTTGTCTAGCTTAGTATAAAAAGCATTACTGTGGTGTTTGTTAAGTAGATCTGTCTCTCATATAGCCTCAAGTCGCAAGGCAATATTACTTTGCATGTAATATTTCAAGAAGAATTGCAAATATCTCTTTCATGCAAAGTAATTGTGATATTTGCAAGAAGAATCGCAACCCTAATTTTCTATTCTTATTATTGTGATTATTGTGATAAAAGGGTTTTTTGGTCCCAGGATGTGATGGTGCCCCTCTGCTGCCTTTGCTCTTTATTATTGTAAACATAGGTTTCAATATTGCATTGCTTCATCTCCTCAAGATCTCTTCAGCTGTTCTATCTTGTCTTGCTTCAACATTTTCAGGTATTCGAGTTGTTTCAATGAATTATAGCTACATTGAGGTTTATATTGACACCTTATTCTTAATTCGGAGAAACCAAGGGAGGGGGGTTATGATGAGTTATTTAAGTATAGTTTCAGCAGTGCGTGCGTGTGTGTAAAATCAATTAAAAATGAATGGTAATGTGAAATTATGAGGTATACCTAACTGATGCAATTTGGCTTTGTGGCAGTCCCTATATCTATCTACGTGTTCACTATGCCATTGCCATATCTTGGTGTTGCCTCCTCTCTTCCAACAGGGTTTCTGGCAGGGGCCATCATTCTCATTATAGGCTTACTCATTTATGCATGGACCCCTTCAAATGGTTCCTCAGGTGCTTCCTTTTCGGTTTCCTAGAGAGGCTAAGATGGGTTAGAATGAGTTCAAACAAATGAGTTGACAATTCATTGCATACGGTACCACACTACACACAACAAATTCAGGTCCACTTTTCCTTGACGGCTATAAGAAGGAGAAAGAAAAATGTTGTATATAATTTGTTTCAATGCAATAAATTGCTAATGAGCATCATTGATGAGCTAAGCTCAATTGATAAAGAAAAAGTAGGGAATAGAATAGAAGAGGTCTCAAGTTCAATGTTGTTTGAGTTAAGAAAAAAGAAATGGAGAATAGAAGTCGTTTTGTTGACTAAGAAAAAAAAAATTGTCAAGAGAACGTTATTGATGGGATAAGAAAAAATCCACACAGTTCTTTGTATTGATCCTATGGTTGATCTGTTTAATTCAGGCACGTATGGAGAGTTAGTTTCGGATTTTTAACTTGCAAATTCATCTAAATCCGTTCCGCATAATTGTGAATCAAAAAAGTTTGTTTTTTGGTTTTTGTTTTTATTAGTCATTGATCTTCCTACAAATCTTTGATGTTCATTTGATACTTTTTTCTCTGGGCAACATTAATTTTTCGAAATTTTTTTCATACTTTCAGTAATAGGCGGGAACCATTTTGCGACCCCTACAAAATTGAGTGTTGCCTATGTTGTAAAAGGATACCGACAAATTTTCCTATATTATGTACCAAACATGTTCTTAATGTTTAATTAATAAACAATTTTTTTTTTTGGGGCAAGAAAGTGATAGTATTTGCAAAACACTAACTAATAAAGTTAAATTTGCATGAGGTAAATTTAAATGTATAATGATAATATGCATCAAAAGTTCTATATTATTTATTTTTTAATGATAAAATAAGATAAAAATGCATATTTCAATATTTTCTTTCACCTTTTTTCACTTAAAAAATGTCAAGTGTAAATATGATTAATTTTTTCATCTAAAACCACTAAAATTGGTCTAATGGTGAAGAATTTAGGTAGGTTATATTAGATTATGTGTTCAATTCTCACTTATATCCAAAAAAAAAAAAATACAAAAATTCATCTATAAATATTAGTACTAAGACGGCGTTTGATACCCAGATTTTTTTTTTGAATTCCTTGGAAAGCATGGCAGGGAGAATTAGAATAACACCTTTGGTAGCAATAAATGCAAAACTTTCTCGGCTAAAATGTTTGTCCGATTTTATGTTGTTATGTGTAAAGTGTTGTATGGCTACCATGTTAGAAAGTCTATGAATTAGGTGAAAAGTAATCGAAATAATCTGGACCAAATTAAGCTTGCTTTTTTTGTGTACTATTTGTACCAGCAAATGGACTTCATGAAATGACAACAACCTTCTACTACTGTAAAGGTGGGGTTCAATGCTTCAAAATTAAAATATATTTAAATGATAATAAGAAATCCCTTTTACTACCTAACTCTCACGAATTTTTTTTATGTCTTAGTATTATATTTTCTAAAAAATTTTATATGCGTATTTTTTTATTTTACTATGGGATCTTTGATTTTCTAAGTTAGTATCACGAGCAAACCTAAGTCGAACCAAAAGATCTGATACCATTTTGTAATACCTCAAATTTATAACAAAATTTAAAATAGCAGAATTGACCAAAATTCATATTTAATTACTTATTAGGATCTCATAAATATTGCGGAAGCTAATCTAAAATCAATTTGGGAAAATATTACCACGCACCTGTAACAGGGACAAGTGTAAGGCCAACTTTATCATACTCTTATACCAAAATATATTCAATATAAATATTCGAAACTTCAAAATACAAATCCTCGAGTATAAGGTTTAACTTAAATATGTCTTATACAATTATTAAATTCTAAGCATAAAATTTATAATATTTGGACCTATCTTGAAATGTCTGAGACGTTATTCTCACTGCCCACTATTAGCCCCAATCTTCAAAACCTGCTTCACTAAGACTCTGCTCCCCCAAAGGATCATTGCAGCACACAAACACAAATACAATTAATCAGCAAAAGCTGGTAATCCCAATCTAAAGTAGTAATCTTATTTATTTTCGTTAAGTTCATTTAGGGGAAAGAGAACCATGGTAGACACGGGAGTCCCTGTTCTGTTGCAAGTCTACCAACGTAACCCGGGAGTCCCTGTTGCCCATCACGTACAATCAATTTTAGCCATCATCAAACTCTAATGTGCACACCTTTCTCTAAAGTTGTTACTAGTACCTCAGGAGATCTTGTTGCCAGGTATCACTTTGGGAAGAACGGATAACATCTTTTTCGCATTATATAAATTACAAGGCATAAAGCCCAAAGGTTATCATCACTGATATCATCCCAAAACTATCTTTCCACTATTATCTTATCACAATCACAAACAAATAGGGAAAATTAAATATTTTCACAAACCACATATTTGAAAATTTTCCTCAAAACGTTTTCATAATTTCCATATCAAATATCCAAATATAAACCCAATAATGTTCCTAATTATATTCATATAATTAACCTATATCTTGGGACCAGAGGCGGACCCACTTTGTTGCATGTGTCTGCAAATGCAGACACAAATTTAAAGAAAAAAAAAACTATTCTGTAAGGCATTAGATTACCTGTGGAATGATGTGATCATGTGAAACATTGAATTTATTATGGGAAATTTGTAGGAAAATAATTATCTCATGTTGTAGAAATAAAATTACAAGTGGGACCCACAGGTAAAAAGAGAGAGAGAAAGGAGTGGTGAGACCCAACCCTTTTGTGTGTGTGTAGGAAATTTATTTATCTCATGTAAAATGAGATAAACATAACTCATTTATTATTCGGCAGAGTGTTAACTTGTCCATTATAGTGCATAAGATAGGCTTTTTATTTTGTGAATTTTTTTAGAACCAGCGCATTGTTTATTACATATAATTAATTATTTTTATATCAAAATAAGCAATGCACTATAATTAATTATTTTTATATCAAAATAATAATAAAAAATAAGGTAAGCTTATTTTGCATATAATTATTATTTATAACTATAGGTTTCAAAATTCTGAGAATAGAAAAAAATAACAACAGAAAAATTACCTTTATACACTCTTGATTACTATTTTTTATATTATGTTGGAAGTTTTTTCTCTCTTCTTGTTTATATTTTTTATTTTTAATACATTTAAAAAAAATTGGGAGCGCTGCCTCCGAATCCTCATCACTAAATGTGCAGACATAAATAAAAATTGCTGGGTCCGCCACTGCTTGGGACTATGATTACCTGGACTTCGTGTATGATGACTTATTACGATGAATAGCAAATTTAGAAAGGGGAAGCATAGTTGGTAGCTAAAGAAAAATAATAACAATAATTTTTTTAAAAAAAAAAAAATTGGAAATAAGAAGAAAGAGGAGAAGAGGAAAAAGGAAATAAAGATATGCTGAGGATGGAAAGTGATTTAGTTTGGGTTTTTGACCCTTTTTCCCCTAATTAAATAATTAATAACAAATTTGCCCCTTCCCCAGAACTATCCACCATCCTGCCCCCATTTAGTCGATTATGTTGCACTTTTAATCGACTAAATGGGCTAAACTCAGAAATTATGAAACGCGAATTTTAGTCGACTAAAAACTCATCTTAATCGACTAAATTGTTTGCACTTTTAGTCGACTAAGCACATTATTTAGTCGACTAAAGATCGCGAAAAATCCTATATCCAGACCTCTCTTGGGCTCATTTTCAAAATATTCGAAATCAAAACTTCTCTCTTGGTCTCTTTCTCTTGTTTGTCAGCTGGGAACCTTCCAATCACCCTTCCATTTCATCCCACCACCTCTAAGACATAGTAATTGTGAAATCATTGTCATTTTCCTTTATTTCTCAATTGTTTCCCCCAAATCCGAACCCTAACCCCTAAAATCTGATTCCTACCCCCAAAATTCGTGTGAAAGATAAGCTCAAGTCCAAACATGTATGTTACCATGATTTACTATGATGGAAAGCATTATGAAGGCCCCAACGGTGTTCAATTTGAAGGAAAAATGAAAATGTTGAAAATCAAACGGGGCACTACGTACAATGAGTTGAAGGGGAGGATTAACCAAAAATTGGGGCTACACGGGAGCCATGGCGTTCAACGGATGATCGCCAGGGTAGAGTCTACAGTTGGTAAGGATGCTATATTCTACATTGGTAATGATATATGTGACGATGAAGATGTGGATTGTGTCATAGATGCAATTGTGTCATAGATGCAATTGTGGACCAAAAATTTCAAAACTTTATTGAGATATATGTTGAAATAGACTGTGGTCAATCTTCATCTGCACCTGTGCATGGAAGAAGTCAAAGTCAAGAAGACAGAGTGGTCGGTTTATCTGCACCTGCACCTGTCTTAAGTCAGATACCACTGAGGGAAATAGACGAGGATGAGGATGGGCATGACGAGGATATGGACAGTGAAGACGATGGTGAACCCGAGAGTGTTATTCCGCTGGGTGACACCTCAGATACGGACGTAGAGGGGAATTTTGACGCTGATACTAGTTCAGGAAACTTGAGTTCCCAGGTTATGCCACCGCTCCGTGTTGACCCTGTTAGCAGTGGTAAGATTGTAATATAAAGTTTTAATTTTGCATATATATATATATTTGTTTTCTTTCGTACTGACGGATAAGTTTAAATTTGGACGTAGGGTCTGAGATTGAGCCATTTTGGAACGACAGCCCACACTATTCGTTCATTAATTGGGCTCACCCTAATGATGAGACGGAGATATTGTATGGCGACGATGACATCCACGGTGGCTGGCATTTAGGAGATCCATTATATTTGTACCAGGAGTTTCGAACTAAATCTGAAATGCAACATGCTGTCAAATTATATTGTATGAAGTCTCATCGTACTGCTGTGGTGGCAAAAAGTGATGACCATAGATTTGTCATGAAGTGTCGACACCATAATGATGATTGTCCCTGGTACGTGCGGGCTATGTTGCCCAAGAATGGAAATAGTTGGGTTGTTAGTAAGTGGGGTAAAAAACACACCTGCCTAAACCAAGGCCTTACTCGGGACCATAGACAGCTGGATTCTGATGTAATCTGTGCAGCCATTATAAGTATGTATTACATTCATTTTTGTTTATGGTTTAATTTTTCGGTATATTTATTGATTGTGTTGACTTCGAATTTTGTGTAGGTATGTTAAAAGAAGATCCATCCACGAAACCAGTTCTTATTCAGGAGAGGGTACAAAGTTTGTATGGATACAACATATCTTATAGGAAGGCTTGGAAGGCTAAAATGAAGGCCATTGTGAAGTTGTTTGGCGACTGGGAAAAATCATATGCCATCTTACCTGGTTG